GGATAATTACTTCACCTTCAAAAACAAACTTTACCTCCAGAAACATGGTACTGCCATTGCCCGAAAATGGCACCCTCATTTGCAAACATCTTCATGGGTGCACTGGAGGACTCTTTACGTTCATCTGCACCAAACCACCAACATCCTCTCTGTGGAAAAGATACATAAATGATATATTTTTACTTTGGACACACGGGAGGATGCATTTAAAACATTTACCACACATCTAAATACATTTCACCCAACCATCAAATGCGAGGTAACACACTCCACAAAAAGTGTCAACTTCCTACAACAGTATACATAACCTCTGAAAACACTCTTGAAACCACCTTATACATCAAACCAACCAACTGCATGCCTCTCCTACAAACAATTCACATCACCCAAATTCCTGCAAGTAGGGCCTCATCTACAGCCAAATGTTAAGATACAGGAAGATTATCACTAAAGATGAAGATTTTCATCAGAAAGCTCAAAATCTGAAAGTAGCCCTCATAGGAAGAGGCTACCATGACAAGGATATCCTACCACACATTAACAATGCTGCTACATTCACTCAATCACCACCCACAACCACAAGAACCCTTTCAGACGAGACGCAAAAAGGTCGATGTTTAGAGGGCACCATTTCTGATAAAGAAGGTCGAAAATTGTTGGATTCAGCTTCCAGTCGCTGGAATCTAGGAACAACCTGGATTCTCAATCTGCCTGAACATTCAGTATGCCCGGAATGTAGTGTACTCTTATCAAGACATTGTGATTCAGACACCAATCCCATAGGTTTTTGGCTAGCTAGGACAATAGAAGAGAGTGTGTGCCCCCTATCTTGTTTATGTAAGTTACTGCCGTAACATTGTTCATTAACAAAAGCACTTGCGCTCTGGCCCTGGACTTAATGAAACATTTGACAGCTAGGGACCCTGCTAGTAGTTCTAAGCAGTTTATGTGATACATGCTCTCCTCTGGGGACCACCTGCCCCCTGTGGAAATCCTTGGCAATAAGCCCCCCACCCTTGAAGGGACGCATCCGTTTCGATTGTAAGATCCGAAGCCTGTTGGAGGAGGGCCTTTCCATTCCATGCAACTAGGTTGTCTTTCCACCACTGGTCCTCTCTTACAGCATCCTGGTCGAGATTGACCAGGGCTTTGTACGAGTTTTTTGCATGTTGGAGGTACCGGTAGTGAAGTGGGGCAGGAAACACTGCCTGTATCGATGAGGACAGAAGACCTAGAAATTTTCCTCGCTGAAGTGACTGGGTTGTCCAACAGTTGTTGACAGCTTTGTATTACTTTCTTTAGTTTGTCTTTGGGTAGGCTCAAAATTAGATTGACTGAGTTTACTGTGTACCCTAAAACTCTATTTGTTGTGAGGGTACTAAGATTGATTTCTGGTAGTTTACTACAAACCCCAATCCCTCTAGTATATTAAGGGTCGTTGCCACATTTTTTAAGGCAAGCTGCTTTGATTCTGCCATTATTAGGAAGTCGTCTAAGTACGCTATGAGCCGGATGCCTCTCTGTTGTAGGACTGACAGAACCGGTTTCACTAGCTTCGTAAATACCCGTGGAGCACCTGCGAGACCAAATGGGAGCCCTCCATAGGAATCAAAGGTATTTAAATCTAGTTTTACTAGGTAATCGTCTTTTCTTAAAAGATCCTTCAACATGTGAATTGAGTCCATTTTGAAGTGTTCGTATGGTAGAAAACTGTTCAGAGGTTTTAAATTGATGACTGGTCGGTGATCCCCACCCTTTTTGGGGACAACGAAAAGCAAGCTGGTGAATCCTTGCTTGGCCTGACAACTGGTCGAGACAAAATGAACTGCTTGTTTGGCGAGCAGTTCCTGGACTTTCTGATCTATTATGGTTTGGTCTTTATTCAAAATAAACATGATTGCTGGAGCATGCACCTGTACTTGGTTTGTTAGAAATTGAATTTGATAACCTTGAGAAACCTGAAGGACCCAATGGTCGTTTGTAATTTCTTGCCATGCTGTTAAGAAATGTTTTAGTCGACCCGCCATTGGCAGGCTGAGGTAATTTACACAATTTCGAAACATACCTGGTGGTAAATGGTTTGGACGCTTTGCAGGTATCACTGTCGCTTTGGTTGGAACTGGCGTGGAGAGCTGAAGGTGTGGGCCCTGCCACGGCCGCGGAAGAAGGGGTTTGGGTCCTGGAAACCATGTGTTGCTTGGTAAAATTTTGGGCGGAAGAAACCTCTGCCACCTCGGAACCGCCCTTGAGAACGCCGAGGGGCAGCCCTACAAAAAAACTGTCAACCAGCCAGTTTTGCCTGGGCAACAGTGTTTGCCGTTTCTGATCGTAGCTTGAGTCGAGATTCGAACCCACTACCAAATAATTGTTTTCCCGAGTCATGATCCGAGATGAGTGTTTGTATCGTCTATGTCACTGATGGTGGAACATTTTTACTTACGTCTTCCGGAGGATTGTTCTGGATTGTAGAAACAATTTCAGCAGAATTTCTTTTTGCATCCATTGTTGATGAGGAGCGAATGAAAAAGACGCGGCCCTGGAGAAGTCAGCGGTATTGGTGGTAGAGCGTATGAACTTTATGTTGTTGTTATTGTTGTTACTTTAAAGTCACTGTATTATTAAGGAGTGAATAAAGGACATTGCATTGTTAAATTGAGCCGAGTATTTTGAAGTATAATTCCACAATCCACCTTGGAACAAACACACATGAGTTGAAATATTGCTCCAAACGTCCTCCAAATGGGAACTCGTAATTATATAATTTGAATCAGTGAATTAGAATATACAATTTGTCATTAAACCGGCCGCTATTTGCAACATCGTACTTTAAAAAGTATAGAAGTTCAATTGTTGAAAAATATAAATAAACCGCATGATACATTCGCTTTGTCTTACACTTTGCCTTTGAAATTTGCGCTTATATAGTTATATTAAATCTTCAATCCTGTGGAAACAACAATGTGTCAACACGCCCATACATGACCACATCTTGTTAAACAGGAAATAGCAGCGATATCATTAAAATAGAACGAGAATTTGCATGTATTAAATATTTAATTTTCTTACCCCAATTAAATCTAAACTTAATCGAACAACATGAAAAGAACTGTTTATTTGTTCCTCTTAGGGGAATTGCTTTATCATGCACGCAAAATTGAATCGTGCATCAGAAAATTAGCCATAGTTGTGCACCACAACTCTTAGGAGAAAAGACTGGGACATAGATAAATATGGTCGCACACACATTTCAAATACTAGTGTATTTTGCACCATTACACACTTGCGACAATGAAAAAAAAAAAAAAACCTGAGGCGAATTTTCAACTCCGTCGCTGGCGCTGGAGTAATTAGCAAACCCCCAAAACAAATTCGGCCCCACTTTCATGATTCACAACCTCGGTGTCACACAGCACACTCATTTTACCTTTCTTGCGGGTGAACACTAAAGCAAACTTCGGTAAGCATCTGGATGCTCGCTTTTCCTCAAATTGAAGGGTAAGTAAGATCATTAAAATATCTTATATATGTAATTCCTAAAATAACAGTCCCCGGGGCACCAGCCAGCCATTTCAGATATTATATTTACAGAGATGTGGGCCTAACATAAAATAACATTTTCTTTGGCACACTCACATGCAGTGTTTCACAATTTCACTAACACAAACACATGTGGGATTGAACATCACCCTTTTTCACAAAATATCCACACATTAGGTTTTTTTTATGAAACCAATCGATTCAGGGAACAGGAACCAATCGATTCTGGGATTAGCCCCCAATAGCAAACCAATAGTTCACTACATATGGATAAACAGCATGCTCATATGCTGTTTCAAAATGGGGGAAGAAAAACTTCATTCAATGTTAAATAAATGTCACTGATACAAAAATAACTTAATATTACAAACTTAGTTGAGAAATGATTGCAACACTTCATGTACTATTTGATAAGATGCAATGCCATTCTTATCCTCAATAGAGTCTTGAATATAATGGCGTAATGGGGGCATGTAATGTTTTTCTGAGCTCCGTCTATCTGGCCTGTTTTGCCGTGCTTGTTTGGTTTGGAAGAGATGTTATCGATAACAACTTATATGGCAGTGTTTGTCTGTCAATAGTGAATGATTTTGGCAAAATAAACGAGCAACATTTTCGTGAAATAACGGATAATTTGTTATATGTCGAAGGTCTGTCTGATCATGCGAATTATGCTGAACGGGACTGGAGTTTCTTCATTGATTATGCTCCTAATAATAATCTGAGAAAAGTTGGCTTTTGCATTTGTTCACCTGGTGGGACTGCTTTGTCGACGGAGCTTGTTTTTGGATGTAGGATCTGTGTGATTACAGAAAATCGGCAGAAAATACAATGAATTCTAAGTTTGATGCTTGTCTTGAAAGTCCTACCCAATCAAGTGGAACAAGCTAAGATTTGCACATTATCTCATTTCTGCATTTGTAAAACTCGAAGCAAATACAGCTGGAAATGGTTAGGAAGGCGTATTTCGTACTATAATAATTCAACTGCTATGTTTTGTCTGTTACTCCAAAGTGGTGATATTGAAACAAATCCGAGGCCTGCATGTAATATCTCAAATCTTACAGAAATACAGCGTGTTTCATTGAATACAGAAGCACAAAATAGCGGTCTATCGCTTTGTTTAATAAATGCGCAATCTATACGAAACAAGAAAGCCAATTTTGTTGATTATGTTTACGATAACAAATTTGATTTAGTTATTGTCACTGAGACCTGGCTACAGAAAAGGGATGATGCAGTGCGTGTTGAACTGTGTCCAGCTGGTTATAAATTAGTTGATCATCCACGTTTAAGACGGAAAGGTGGGGGCATTGGTCTTCTTCACCGTGACTGTATGAGAGTTACTACAGTTAGAACTTGATTACTCTGAGCTTCTGATACAGCTATCAACTTCTTGCAAGCTTAGGATTGTCATTGTTTACAGATCCCTACCCTCAGAAGGCCACAAGGTTTCTATTAACATGTGTATGAAAGAGTTTTCTAATGTCTTAGAATCGGTTATCCTCTCGAAGGAGAGCTTGCTTGTCCTTGGGGACTTCAACATTCATGTGGATGACTCCAAGGACAGTGGCGCTATGAAGTTCCTTGGACTTGAGCAGCACGTCATGCAACCGACTCACATCCATGGTCACACCCTGGATCTTATTATCACACGAAAAATGGAGTCACTCATAAGGTCGCCACCACGTAGTTGCCACTATTTTTCTGATCATGCAGCTATTCATAGCAGTCTTCACTTAGGGAGGCCTGTTTCCCAAGTCAAAAGAGTTACCTACAGGAAAATAAAGGCGGTGAATCTTCAGTGTCCTAAACAGGATTTCGTGTTGTCAGATTTGTGTAAGCGGGAACACGCTAAACCTTTAACCAGCTACGAAGATCTTGAAAAGCTCGTGTGTAATTATAACATTGTTCTCAGGAACATAACCGATAGTCATGCGCCCCTTAAAACAAAAGTTGTAAGATCAAGACCACAAGTCCCCTGGTATAATCAAGATATAGCTGAAGCGAAGAGAAAGCGGCGCAGGGCTGAGCAGGCCTGGAGGAGATCAAAGTTAGCTGAAGACCTTTTGGTGTTCAAACGTCTAAAAAATCATGTCACACACATCAGTAACAAGGCGCGCAAGGAATTTTACACAAACTTTATACAAGAACATGAAGGTGATCAGTGTAAACTCTTTAAGGCGACTAAAGCTATGCTCCAGCCAAAAAGTGATCTATGTTTTCCTGATTATCATAATAACACTGTTCTTGCAAATGATATTGGAAGCTATTTTCACCGTAAGGTTGCTAATATTCGTAATGAGCTTGACGTTCCTCATAATTTTTACGATGAGCTTGTTAGGGTAATTGACAACCCTGAATTTAATACCGATCACGAGAAATTATCCAACTTTAAAGAACTTACTCAAGATGACGAATATCAACTTATTAGAACTACAACCAAGAAAACCTGCTTGTTTTATCCTATGCCTACTTCTCTGTTAACAAGCTTTCTCGAGGAAATTCTTCCGACTATTACATCTATGATTAATTCTTCTCTGTCGCTTGGATATGTCCCATTTGAGTGGAAAGCTGGTTTGGTCGACCCGAGGTTGAAGAAATCTGCTCATAATATTTCCCTTCCGAATTTGAGACTTATAAATATGAATAACCAGAAGGTCACTTTTCTCATACTGCTGGATCTGAGCTCCGCATTTGACACGGTAGATCATCAAATTCTCCTCCATCATCTCCAGGTTACCTTTGGAATTACCGGAAACGCCCTTAGTTGGTTTTGATCTTACTTGTCAGGACGATCACAGCAAGTAGCAATAAATGGAAGTTGTTCAAGAGATTTTTCTCTGCCTCACAGTGTCCCTCAGGGCTCCTGCTTGGGACCATTGCTGTGTATAATATACTCCAGTAAGCTATTCAAAGTCATAAAGAGCCATCTTCCAGACGGTTTCATCGGTATCCAACGCTCGGAATCTTGGATCGTGGTTTGATAACAAGTTAAGCATGAAAACGGCAATTAATAAGACGTGCCAATCTGTGATTTATCACTTACATAATATTAGGCGCATTAGGAAATATTTAAACTTCGAAGACAAGAAATCGATCGTTCAGGCCATTGTCATATCAAGAATAGATTATTGTTATTTGGTGTCTCATCCATGCACCTGATGAAGCTTCAAAGAGTGCAGAATGCTGCAGCCCGCTTAGTGTGCTCTGTACCAAAACATGAACATATTACGCCATCGTTAATCAGATTACTCTGGCTCCCAGTTAAATTTCGAGTAAATTTTAAAATTGCAATGCTTACATTCAAATGTATTAACAAAACTGCTCCTGAATATCTAAGAAGTTTAGTGACAATCAGGAAGACATCTTGTTATAATTTGAGATCAAACACAGGAACGTTACTACAGAATAACACTGCGAGATCGAAAAAGATGTTAGGGGACAGGGCATTTTCGAATGCCTCAGCAATTGTATGGAACAGTCTTTCTGTTTTAATAAGAAGACAAGAGAATTTTAGTGTTTTTAAGTCACTTCTTAAAACACATTATTTTAGGGAAGCTTTTAACGTTTAGATTGTCTTTTTACAACTAATTGTAAATATTCTAACTCTCAATAATTGTAAATATTCTACTTATCAATAATTGTAAATATTCTAACACTCAATAATTGTAAATATCCTAGTTTCAGTTTGTAAAGCGCATTTGATCATATCAATGCATTTTAATTTGCGCTATATAAGTAATAAATTATTACTAGAAATACATGCATGCAGCAACCCCTCGCTATTTCAAACCAAGTACACAATTTCCTGAGTTAACCTGACCTAAACTTATATTATGAAATGACACAAAACTCAAATCAGTCTTTATATTCTACCGAGTATATTATAGCTAATGTTTCCATCATTCAATACAAAAATAATCATAAACCTTGTGTAAACATTGCCCGTTCAATTTTGCTGCATTATACCATGCCAGCAATTAAATAACGGTTTAAAATCGAAGTTTCAAACGATTAAAACAGTACAAAATCTTCACAGACAAAGAAAAAAGTCGACGCCGGCGGCTAAAAGTTTTATACTTTATAAACATAGTGCGTATTTTTGATACCAAAATTCAAATTAAACTTTCAAAAACACTTTTTGAAGTTAAACCAAAGGTGTAATAGCCTTTCACAGGTTTATGCGTTTGCATAAAAAGCTGAAAATTTAACAAATAAACGGCATACAAAGCTGAAAAGTATACAAATACGGCTCATTCTTATCGCGAAACAAATACGAAATAAACAAAGTAAACACGTACCCTTTGTCTTTGAAAACATTTATAAGTTTGCAGATTATGAATTATTCCTCTTACACGGCTTTGTCTTGACCGTATCCACGTTCATCTTTGCTCACTGTCATGCTTCATATATCTTGTTTCTTCTCGTTTTAGTTTCTTTGCACAAAGTTTATCGAAACGCTTTTACATTTACAAAAATGTTTACGAAATGACAGTTAATGTAAATTGCTGACGTTCTCATTGAAATACAAACTTTCTGTCTTAGCCAATCAGAACGTTCGTTGATTACCAGACGTTACTCGTGCATGCGCATAACTTACAAAACCACCCAACGTCGACCGTCCATGACAAAGAATTTGGACAACTTTGGATTCGGCTATGTTCTACCGGGTTCCGGGTGTAATTCCTAATCTCCGAGCGGAATTAGTACCCTCGCAGGCGCTCCGCGCCCGCTCGGGGATTATTATTATTGTTATTATTATTATTATTATTGTTATTATTATTATTATTATTATTATTATTATTATTTTTTTAATTTTTATTATCATTATCATTATCATTATCATTATCATTATCATTATTATTATTATTAGAACTGTTAATTAGCAATCGTCTCATACCTACAATTAATATCGGAGAATCTTTTAAATATTTAGGACGTTTCTTTGATTTTAATATGACTGACCAAAAACACAAATCCGAACTTGTATCTGTCCTTGATGATCTAATGTCTGATATTGACCAAAAACCTCTACACCCGAAAAACAAACTTCTTTTGTACAACCGTTACGTCCTATCAAAAATATCTTGGCATTTTACTGTTGCAACTCTGTCCAAAACATGGGTAACTGAGACAATGGATTCCGTAGTTAATAAATACATTCGGAAATGGCTGGAAATACCAATTTCTGGAACATTAAGTAACATCTATCTATCTCCTAATAAATTTGGTCTTAGCATCCTCCCTCCCTCCATAAAATTCATCCAGTGCCAAACAGTGATGCGTAATGCATTAAAGAATTCTCCAAATGAACAAATAAAAGAACTTTGGAAATCAACAAACAACCACACTAATATCCAATATGATATATATAATTCAACCAAGGAAGTTCTCAAGAAATTTCACTCTGGACAAGAAGATAAACTTCAAAACAACTTGGTATGCCAAAGTTCATTCTTCACTAACGTCTCAAAGTTCTCCCTGTCACAGTTCAACACTCTTTGGTCCGTTGCTCAATCGAAACTACCGAAGAATATTTTCAACTTCACCATCCATCCTCTCTCCTGAAACTCTGTTACACGTTGTTGCGGGATGTCAGTCTTATCTTGAACGCTTTACCTGGAGACATGATTCTATATTAAAATTTCTCGCTAGTACATTTCAAAGTATAACCATGCATAAAGTATATGCCGACATCCCTGGATACAGAAATCCTTCAATCATAACTGGGGACACATATCGGCCGGATTTATTACTAATCACTCCTGAAAAATCCCTTTACATCGTCGAACTTACTGTTGGTTTTGAAACTAACCTGAATAACAACGTTATGCGTAAAAAAGCTAAATACAAAAATTTAATTGAAGAACAAAAAGAAAGCTTTGTGGGAGTTAAATTCGTAAACTTATCAATCAGCTCTCTTGGTGTTTTTGATAAAGAATGCCTTTCCTTCGTAACCATGATGGACAATTTAGGCTTAGATAAAAAGCACCAACTCTATTGCATGAAAAAGATCATATCTATTGCTATTAGAACAACATACTTTGTTTTCTGCTGCAGAAACAAAGAATGGACCAATCCTGAACTGTTTGATTATTAATATAATTATTCAAATAAACCATTATTCTGATTAAATAGTTAATATAGTATTTTAAGATTCATGTAGCCAATTTGTAAATTACCTAAAATAGAGAGATTTGCAATTGTATGTATAAGAAAAAATTCCAATAAAGTTTTCATTATTATTATTATTATTATTATTATTATTATTATTATTATTATTATTATTATTATTATTATTATTATTATAATTATTATTATTATTATTATTATTATTATTATTATTATTATTATTATTATTATGATCATCATCATCATCATCATCATCATCATCATCATCATCATCATCATCATCATCATCATCATCATCACCGATCTCATCATGAATTCACGTCACAATTTCTGCTCATTACCACAAATCACATATGCGAACACGTCATTCCAACACATGCTAGCGGGTTAGAAACATGCTTTCCCTAGTTATGCTTGGAGCCTGATGAGACATAACAACAGTTTTCAACGAAAAACAAACGAAAGGGACTTGACCATGCTTGAATGGGCAATAATTCTGGCCAAGGCATCTCACGTCTCCATATTGCACCCGTGTTTTGCCAAAAAACAAACACATATTCATAGCATTTCAAAAATATAATTTTAAAATCCACAATTATCCACAATATTCTACATTCCACAATTCCTATAACCGAATCTTATTAAATGTTACCAATCATCAATCATCTCATTTTCAAAAGGCACCCTCCAACACCCCTGCAATGAGGGCACAGCCATCTCAACATGATCTGAATACCTGCAACCACATATAAAATAAGAATATTGACTAAAAACGAGAATATGGCATAGATTCCAACCCATACTAGTATATTAATTACTATGAGATTGGAATGTAAGATTCCAATCGGATCCTCAATTATAATTAACAATACCAGTGTACCTGGAAAATGAATGAAGATATAGTAGAATCAAAACTATTAGATAACATTTTACTAAATAAGAGAATTTTGCATAAATTCCAATCCATACTAATATAATTACTATGAGATTAGAATGTAAGATACCATTTGAATCCCAGAATATCATTAACAATACAAGTCTAACTCAAAATGAATGAAGATTAACTAGATCTCAACTATTAGGCCTCAGTTTACTAAATAAGAGAATATGGCATAGATTCCAATCCAAACTAGTATAATTGAAAATTAAATGAGACTTACCTGTAAGTTGAAGTTTGATTGTAATTCTGTCTTGTCATCAGCCAGGAACGAAGAAGTCACATTAGATGTGCATGCGTTCATTGCCAATCAGTTTACAAAGCATGTACAAGAAACAAATTATAGAACAAAGGAGTAAAACTGGGAAGGGAGGGATAATATGGGCATGCATGAGATGTGCATGCGTGCATCGCCAATCAGTTTACAAAGCAAGTACAAGCAGGATATTATAGAACAAATGAGTAAAACTGGGAAGGGAGGGATAATATGGGCATATGACTCCTTCGTTCCTGGCTGATGACAAGACAGAATTACAATCAAACTTAAACTTACAAGTAAGTCTTGTTTAATTTTCAATTCTATCTTGTCATCAGCCTATGTCACTACGGAGTCACATGAGATTTCAAAGTCCTGCTTGGACAACGGATATCAACACACGACAAATAACCACTGGATCTTTGATCTAATAAACGCTAACATTACAATCA